AAATTATAATTTTTATGTAATTATACTTTATATCTAGGGCAATTCTGTCAAATAGTCCTCTTTTAAGTTTTTATCACAAAAATAGACCTCAAAAATTAAAATGACCAAAATAGCACTTTTTATTTTGAAAATTTTAAGTTTTTTTTTTTTAATTTTTTTAAATTCAAAACACTATCCCCAAAACTCCACTCCTCAACTCTAAACAAAAAAGTCTAGGATTAGTTAACCCAAGGGGTATTAATGTATATTTAATAAAATATTTAAGTGCTATTTTGGTCATTTTAATTGTTAAGGTCTATATTTGTGATAAACAAAATTTATGTCTATTTTAGTCATTTTCTCTTATATCTATATCTTCTTTAATGAAAAAATATATTTGTATATAATGTGTTTTCATAAAAAAAGTTCATACAAATAATCATGATATTAGAAAAAGAAATATCTTTTCTTTAAAAAAATAATTTAAACAATAAAATATATATTTTTAAAGTAATTATATCTATCTATTTTATTAGATGATTACATAAAATAATTAAGTAACATAAACTGATATATGTTTAATTGAAAAAAAATATAATTAGTATATTTGTTTGATTATAATATCTTACAGTTACAGCAAAAATATATAAATTATATTTTACTTATATGATATAATTTCTCAAAAAATAAAATTTTTACTGCATATTTTAAGAGATATTAAAAACTAAACTAAAAATAAATTTAATAATAAACATCTTTTGATCAAATAACTAAATTCTTTTAAAATATCATAACACTATATAATTTCACGAGGTAGATATATTATATTTTAATAGTTAAAATTATTTGTTTTCTTAATAACTCTTTTGATGTTTAATTTTCTGTTTTTATGTTTGTGGAATTTAATATAACCATAATCAATATACTTAAGCAAATCAGAATTCCTTATTTTTAAAATTATTTAAATTAAATTTCAGTTTACCATCCAATCAATCTAAGGCATAAATTATTTAAAATTTATAAAATATTTAATTATTGTAAATATTGATATGTGTTCATAAGCTTCCAAAAATTTATTATTACTTATGTATGTAATTTAGAATCAGACACTATAGTTTTTATTTTTTTGTTCTAAGCACAAAAAAATCTTAAAATACATAATCTTACTAATTTATACTTATATTTCTAATATAACAACCAAAATAAATATAAATAAAACAATTAATCAAATATTTAAGATATTTAGAATAAAAACGATTATATTTGAATTCAGAGAAATATATTTTCTCATCCAGTAAAACTGTACGTGCATACTTTCTAGCCACGGTCATGTTAGGGGCATCACGCCAAGTGTGACTCAGACAATCAAAGATCCGAACAGAGGAAGACGGTTCCTTGTAGTGTCCACCGATTAAGTAGATGTCCGGACCAAACGTTGTGATGTTATGTTGTTTGGGAAAAGAATCGGTAGAAGAGGAAGGTATAGGCACAACCGAAAGTCCACTCGAGCCCCGCTTAAACCTAATTTTGCTTCTCCGTTTGGTTTGCTTTTTATTAGGTTTCGTCCAAAGACTAAACCAGCTTGCACACGGGTGATCGGGCAACTTTAACCAGACATAGACGCATGTTTCATGGGCTCCTATTTGAGATCGAGTCTTGTAGATCTCTTTAGATGATAAGAGAGTGTGGAATCTCTTTGAGACTAGAGAGAGCGATGGGTACTTCCATCTCGAGACACGGGCAAGAATGTTCTCTGTAAGCTCGTCTGGAAGTGATGAAAACGACAACAGTGGCTCAGGAACCGTCTTCTTCTTTTTGGTTGGTTTAACTTCTGCCGAAGTCATGAGCGGCCGAAGATACAGTATAGAGGCTGTGGAGATGGGAATATGATAAATGTATATAGGGTTAAGAAACACGTTTAGGTATATAAAGACCTTTTGGTATTCTAGGTATATAAAGACCTTCGTTTTTAAAAAATATATTTTTATTTGAAAACGAAAATTTATCACTACAAATATATATTTCGTTGATTTTTCGCAACGGAGCTCTCACGTTAAAAGTTAGACTGGTTAAAGTCTTTGTTACCCTTGATGAATAAAATATATAAATTAGCCAAAAATAAAAACAAATTTAATACTTATTTGATTAGATAAATGATTTAAATTAATAATAATGATAAGAATTATCCATAATCTAAATACATATTTAAAAGAAAAAGATAATTCTTATATATATTGTGTTGTTATCCGGAAAATATATTTAATTTGAATTTTATATTTAAAAGAAAAAGATAATTCTTATATATATTGTGTTGTTATCCGGAAAATATATTTAATTAAAAAAATTCAAAAAAACACATAAATAAGTATTCATAAAATAAAAATTTTAATTGTATATAATTCAAAAGAGAAAATTGAAAAAATATATTACGAAATTATTTATTAAAAGAATATAATAATATAATGATAAATGTATATATTTGTGAAGTTATTTTTCTGAACTCACACGTTAAATTAAATTTATATTTATATTTTATATAGTTAAACCTTAAACATGAATTAATCATATAAAACAAAAGATCATTTAAAAAGAAAGAAAATACGTGTTTGATAAAAATAAATTCAAATATATTGTATTATTATCTAAACTAATATGATTCTTTTTGTACGATTAATTGTTGAATGTATACTTATCGATTCAATTTTTCAAATGGAAAGATAGATTTTTATATTTTTTATCAATTAAGAAGAAATGAAATAGACTTTAGATTTTTCAAAGTTTTAAAGGAAAAAAATAGTTTTTTTAATTTGTGAATAACTTTATCATGTAGAAAAGTTTAATGTTTTCGGTCAAATTTGGATGCAAATAATTATTTATTTTGATGATTTTTAAATTGATTAAAAGATAATTAAGCCCGCATGTACGGGCAAAACACCTAGTTTAAAAGGTAACTTATAAAATCCCAGTAGATATAAATATAATGCAACCTATATAAATAATATCATTGAAATTTTAGAATACTTAAAACCAGGTTATTCTTATGTGCCCATTATTCATGGACATAAATTATTTATATATATAATAATAAAATATTTATTTTTATTATTATGTATAATTTATAATTTATATGTACAAAATTAATAAAATATTACTATCAAATAAGGGATTTTTGCAAATTTGACTCAAAACTCAAAGTCAAACACAAAACTAACATTTCTTGTTTTTTTGATTTTTGATTTGTCTTATTCACCCTATCTGTTCACATTATTTACGAAAATGCCATTACACTTTTTTTTTCTTTTTTTTGAAAATTGTTTTTTACTCTCTCAACCTCATCATCTTCAAGTATTTACAAGATTGACATTGCCATCAATACCCTAACTACCATGAACAACCAATTTGAAGCTCTTAATGCACCTAAAATTGATTTANAAATTGTTTTTTACTCTCTCAACCTCATCATCTTCAAGTATTTACAAGATTGACATTGCCATCAATACCCTAACTACCATGAACAACCAATTTGAAGCTCTTAATGCACCTAAAATTGATTTACACTCTCTCTTTCTCAATTGTTATGAACTAAAAACAACATCTATTTCACTTTGTCTCCATATTCATACAAAAAACCTAAGCTTTTGATTCAATTTTTTTTTATGGTTGATAGAGCCATTTAAGCATACAATTCTTGGTGGGTTACTTTCATTTGATATTTTGGGTGGTTGGAGAAGACTTTGTGTGCTAAGAAAGTCATCTCACCTAATTTAAGGTATGAAATTGAATTTTTTTCCAGATCTGTTCGCGTAGAAGACTTACTCGTAAGTCTTCTGGATGAGCTGGACGACTTACTTTTAAGTCGTCCAGCTGGACGACTTATTTCTAAGTCTTCCAGCTTTTTATGTTAAACAAAAAAAATCTGGACGACTTATAAGTAAGTCATCTAGGAAAACGGGCTAATTTTGCATTTGACTGAAGTGTGTCAGTTTTTGATTTGTCTTATTCACCCTATCTGTTCACATTATTTACGAAAATGCCATTACACTTTTTTTTCTTTTTTTTGAAAATTGTTTTTTACTCTCTCAACCTCATCATCTTCAAGTATTTACAAGATTGACATTGCCATCAATACCCTAACTACCATGAACAACCAATTTGAAGCTCTTAATGCACCTAAAATTGATTTACACTCTCTCTTTCTCAATTGTTATGAACTAAAAATAACATATATTTCACTTTGTCTCCATATTCATACAAAAAACCCAAGCTTTTGATTCAATTTTTTTTTATGGTTGATAGAGCCATTTAAGCATACGATTCTTGGTGGGTTACTTTCATTTGATATTCTGGGTGGTTGGAGAAGACTTTGCGTGCTAAGAAAGTCATCTCACCTAATTTAAGGTATGAAATTGAATTTTTTTCCAGATCTGTTCGCGTAGAAGACTTACTCGTAAGTCTTCTGGATGAGCTGGACGACTTACTTTTTAACGGCTTACACTCCCAACACACTTCTTAACGGCTTACACTCCAGTTCTTTTTTAAACAATATTATTTTCTAATATGTGGATCTTTTCCAAATGGAAGGAGTATTAAAGAAAAAAAACTGCTGGCAAGATCGCTATATAACTTCAAATGTCTTGTGTCTCTTGATTCTAAACCTAATAGATTTGATATGACGTAACGAATGTCTTGTGTCTCTCTTGATTCTGAACCTAACAGATTTGATATGACTTAACAAATGTCTCTGTATAATCAATCGAAATACATGTTCAGCTTCTTTTATATAATATTCTTAACACAGTCACGTACACCTGCGTAATCTCAATTCACTAAAATAGTAGTTTCATCTGAAAAATAAATTACCATACACTAATGTGTAAACAAAATGCAAACACAACTATATTAATGCATATATATAAGTTACTCATGATTTCACTTGTAAGTGAAAGCAAAGGATAAGACGGTCTCAAAGCAAAACAGCATGTTCAAAGCAAAAGACTCATATATACTATCTCTAAGAGACATCAAACCGACACAGCAACACAACCAAACCCTTCATATGACTTGACAGGAAAGGTAAGCAGATCAACACACTCAACTTTTCCCCACACCTCACGTCCATTGCGCCTTGATTCTAAAGAAATCTTTGCACACCAAATTTTGTAGCATCGTTTGTATATATATGTGTCCCACATAACTAAAAGTTGGCCACCATAGCCCACCAGTCCAATCTCACACCCAATTTCTAAACCTCTTGTAGGATGCTTACGGAGTTTTTCCAAACCCTTAATCTCTCTCCACTTTCTACCCTCCATCTCTGGGGCAGACCACATTAAGTAACCCAAGTCAGTGCAACCGTATATTACATTCCCCATCTCACACAAAACGTCTATGGAATCTGATATTAAACTCGACGGCTCTCTTACAAGTTTCCATTTACCATTTTTCGGCTCGTAAGAGAATTCCTTCTCATCTGTCGCTACGTAAAGTTTCCCTTCGAACTCATTAATTATAACATATTCACTAGATTTGCGTAAGTGATTACGTAAGTCTTCATCATCAGCACCAGGACCAGGAAAGGCTGTCCACAATTGAGTTTTTAGGTCAAATACTTCAATCCAGTTGGCATAGTACTCGTCAATATCGCAACCTCCCATCACATATATTTTCTCATCGAGTAAAACTGTACGTGCATACTTTCTAGCCACGGTCATGTTAGGGCCATCACGCCAAGTGTGACTCCGACGATCAAAGATCCGAACAGAGGAAGATGGTTTCTCGTAGGATCCACCGATTACGTAGATGTCCGGACCAAACGTTGTGATGTTATGTTGTTCGGGAAAAGAATCGGTAGAAGAGGAAGGTATAGGCACAACCGAAAGTCCACTCGAGCCCCGCTTAAACCTAATTTTGCTTCTCCGTTTGGTTTGCTTTTTATTAGGTTTCGTCCGAAGACTAAACCAGCTTGCGCACGGGTGATCGGGCAACTTTAACCAGACATAGACGCATGTTTCATCGGCTCCTATTTGAGATCGTGTCCTGTAGATCTCCATAGATGATAAGAGAGAGTGGAATCTCTTTGAGACGAGAGAGAGCGATGCGTACTTCCATCTCGAGACACGGGCAAGAATGTTCTCTATGATTTCGTCTGGAAGTGATGAAAACGACGACGGTGGCTCAGGAACCGTCTTCTTCTTTTTGGTTGGTTCAACTTCGTAGGAGATCATGATCGGCCGAAAATACAGTACAATAGGAGAGGGAATATGCTAAATATATATAGGGTTAATAAACACGTTTAGGTCTTTAGATAAGTTAATAAGAAAGGACCTTTTGGTATTTGTTATTGGATTGATGGCGTGGGAGAATTATTTTTCGGAAATTGTCTATGGTTTATATAGATTTATGGTTTATATTTAAAGAGTAAGATTTGGAAGGTAAGATTTAGTATTTAAATAAAAATACAAATAAATACTTGAAATGAAAAAAAAATTAAAAATAGTTTTAAAAAGTATTTTTGAATTTGAAAAAATATCTGAATTTCTTTTTTTTTTTTAAATTTATTCTCAAGGGACTTGTAAGATTGTATCACCTTTATTTTACCTTGCGACCGAAGCTAAGACCATCCCCATCAGTAAACCTGATGAGGGGTTTACAACTTTTTTTTTTATTTTTTTCGTTTGACTTTTTCTAAAAAATAAAAAATAAAAAATAATTAAGTGGGTCAATCGCAGGCCGCCACGTGGCGTGGGGCCCGCAAAAAAGTTGTGATACAGGTTCACAACCAAGAGCTTCCGCGAGACAGTATCACATTTGGGTCAATATTTTTAATCAATTCACCTATGTTTCTGTGCAATAAACCACTCATAAACCTCTAATGGACATGCCCTAACAAATGCAATATAGATGGTCACAAACTCACGATATATCCGTGATTCTCAAATGGATTCAAATGAAAATTGAAACAATGTCTAGCAAAGTCATTCAAGATGTTAAAACGAAGCACATGTTCTTAAAACCAAAAGGATGACTCTACCAGCTTGACTTAGCACGAGTCATCAAACCTAAACGGCTGGACAACGCAAGTACTCATATGACTTGGGTACAGTAGACACAACATCGAACCACTCAATCTTCCCCCAAACTGTACTTCCATTATTGATTCATCTCAACGCAACCACCGCGCACCAAATATTCTTAAACTGACTACGACCACGCCGCTCAAACCTATCCCAAATAATCACGAGCTTCCCACCATAGTTCACTAATTCAACCACACTACCATTCGGATAAACACTACTACTACAACTACGATACTTCTTCAGCACTTCCAAACCTCTCACATCTTTCCACGTCCTACTCTTTACATCATACCACACATAGACATACCTCGAGAAAGAGTAAGAATACATCACATTGTCTATCACGCACCAAGAGTTCGACCAATGTACACTCAATTCCACATCCGCAAAGCTCCATTTCTGTGGGCTTTAGTGTACAAAGGCCGATCCAACGTTATTGGGCCTTCGCGTCTTCTGGCCCATTTACCCGCACTTTAGTTAAACGTCGTCGCTGCGTACTTCGAGTATAAAAAGGTGTCTTCGTCTTCATCACTTCTGTGGTCGTCTGTTAGAGCTGAGGAAACAGAGTGATAAGGTCATCTTCTCTGGTGAATTCTCC